TATATCCCTCTTTTATATTTTTATTTCTATTCTATTGTAATAAACTTATGCTGCATATTTGCTTCAACTGTATTTTATGTTATCTAAAATACTGAAAATATATTAAAAATTAAAAACAATCTATTGACTAAAAGTGATTTTGAAATTTTATTGTAAAATATGTCTTTAAGATTATTACGATATGTGACTCTTTTAAATCGTCCCGGTCTGTTACACATAATATGCCATAGGTTACTATGTATACTCTACAATCGGCATTTTTGAAAAAAACTTATTATATTCATAAGTTTTTATCATAATAAAAAGTATCTTAGTTTTAAATATATTATAAGTAAATGCAATCTTGCCTAAGAAACTTAAGTGACTACTGCGTCAATTGATTTACACTTCTTGAAATGAGATTAAGTTACTTGATATCCAGGGATAAATAGTCCATCAAATGAATATATATCAATACTTGGGTAGTTGAATTACTGTTTATAAACTTGAATGAAAGAAATTTATAGTATTAGATATGTTTACATTATTAAATGCAATAGATGCAATTTCTCTTAACTACTCATAAAAATTTATATTTTGAAATAGTGCACCTAACCTGATCACCTGAGTTGCAAATTATTGTTCTTAACTGTAGCTATATAAAACAAACTGTAGGATATTGTATACTATGGACTTCGGAAACTATTAACTATCATTTGATCTCACAGAATTTTAAATCTCCATTTACGGGGTCGAACATAATTCAAATTAGATATATATCAGATTCGTAAAAGAATAATTGGGCTAGATTGATCAAAAGCTAAGGTATTGCATACAAATCTGAAGGCAGTAGAAGAATGTGCCGATGGAAATTAATCTGGCTCAACATTAACTAAAATCACATCACAAACTATGGAGATTCGTTATCAATATTGCCGAATTAAAATTAATAGCACTACGAGTGCAGTTATAGAAAACTCTAAATTTTGCTTCTAAAATTTTGAAAATGAACAAGTTTTAATAAGCATATTAATAACTCATCGTCGATACCTTAAGTTGTATGTTGTTTTATACTACACCCAGAAAAATATGATATAAAGAAGATATAAAAATCAACTAGTGCTTTGGTTGAACCAAATGACACGTTGAGTAATAGTATTTGGGCCTGAAGTTCAGTTAAAATCTGGTTAAGTCAATCAAATCATTTTTCTGAGTGTAGTTTATACTGATTGATTTTGATTTTGAAGAAATTATGTTTTCCCATTTATAGAGCTTAATTCCGAATTGTAACTTCATAAGCCTTCCAATCCTATTAAATATTGAAACATTATAAATATTATTAGTAAACTAGGTACGTGTTACATGAACAAAGTCACCTACTGTTACCTTAAATACCAATTGTACGGTGTTAAGTTGATTTAAACTATCATTAAAGCCACTTGTCTTTAATTTAAACGTTTTGAAGTAACTTACTTTTAATAGTTTTTGCTTTTAAGACAATCTGAGTTAAAATTTAAATGATTACATAAAATAAAAGACAAAATTGCATATGAGGTAATGCAGAAGGAAATGGGAGCAGCAATTATCTGCATTAATGTCAATGTTAAAAATCATGTTTTCGAAAAGTTGTTAACTTCACGCGAATATAATTTTTATATTTTACACTGTCAGGATAAGAAAATTGTCAAATGCGGTAAAAATTGCATATTTGAATTAAGTTATAAAACAAAATATTTTGCATATAACATATGCAATTACTATTAATAGCAGCTGTGTTGGTTAGTATTTTCGCTATAGATGTATCTGACTGTATCTGTCAGATACACAAATGCATCGAATTTGCCACTTCATAGCTTAGCAGAGCATTAAATCTATTCAAATATTTGCAAATAATGAACACATTATAAAAAAAGATTGATATCAGATGAATATTTTTAAGTGGATATTTTTGCAATGATAGTGGAGCATAAAATTTGCAGATTTTTATAAGGAAGTTATTGGGTGGTGTGTAAGAGGTTTGTTTTGAATAGTAAAAGTTTTTGTTATAAATAACATTATAAGTTCAATTCCCAAAAGACTGTATAGATTTAAATTATAAAACTATTTGATTAGTAATCTGTTAGAATATGCACATATTTCAATAATTAAATACTCTTAAGAGTATTAAACATAAAATTTTTTAAAAGTCTTATATACGACTTTAAATTTTTGCAAACATTATCGGGTGTTGGTTGTTTGGTTGTAGCGGCACATCATTAGATAACTTTCATGTACCTCAATTTTTCGCTGTACTGCTACTACATTCCTCGCAAGAACCCTAGTATCGAAGAGTAAAGACTAAATACATTTCGTCGAATTCAGATAATTTAATTGGTCTTTCGTCTTCATCGATGAACTGTCTGATAAACTATCAAAGGAAGATACTACCTAAGAAGCTACATCTTCTGAACGCAAAAGCCGGGCATTCACAGAAAACCATAATTCAAATGTATTATGGTTTCTTTTATCTGCCGGTTTCAACATTTCTGCAGTGAAGATTATGAGGAACGCTCAGTTTCTCTGAGTGGGTTTCTATACACCAATGACCAGAAAGAACTGTAGTAGCCTTGCAGTGTTTAAGCGGTCTCTTTTGAAGAATTTCGAGGATCTATTTTTGTTATAGGTGGGCCATGTTAACCTAGAAGTTGCACATGACTTAAGTGCTTTCCATCTATTATCGGTAAGTTGCAAAAAGTAGAGGAAGGTACTTCTCTTAATTGTCTCTAGGGTAAACTGGTACCGCCAGGATTGCATTCTGCGAAGCACCAGAGAGGGGGTAAACCACACGATATAAATAGCACGATTCAGGTTTGATTATGCTATGTCAACCACATATTATTATATTAGTACAGTTACCATCTTCTATTCTATTCTTTTTGTTAATAAAGCTAATGAAGTTGATAATAAAGCTAATGTTAATGAAGCTTTTAAGATTATAGGTAATAATTACCATATTAGTCAATTTTCTCGCGATTGCAAATTTAGCTAAATATTTAGTGTTGTGTTACCTAATTCTTAAATTGAAAAATTAAGTCTCAATTCTCAAGATACCGAAATTGGCAATATTAATATATGTGCCTTTAATTTCTAATTGAGATATGCAACACAAACTGACGATCTTTACAGCTTCTATCAAAATGAAGAGAATGAATTATCACGTTCTCACATGTCCACTACTTAGGAGGAGGTATAGTTATAATTCTAAAAAACTCTTTATTTCAGAAAACGAATTCTCAAAAATAATTTCGGAAGTAATTTTCGGAATTAAATGACGATTGAAAGAAGTTCTTCAATCAGAACAACACACATCACAGAAACTCCCTTACATGAGTGTAATCAAATCGATAGAAAGGGGACATATTTTTCACATGATTTGCGTTAAATGTGATATATAGATTCATTCTTCAGATGCATAGTATTAAATGATGAATAGGATATACTTTTCATAGACTATTCAAGTATAATTATCATTTTTCATTATTTTTTTTATTCTACATATGAAATGAAGACGATATTTCTAACTTTATTTTTAAATATTTTTAATTAAAAAGCCAATATCCAATTTTTATCAAATATTAGTATTCTTAAAACTGCTTAAGTGGACAATGGTTTGCTAACAAGGTTAACTAAAATCACAGTTTGGCAAAATTGTCTAAAACACGGACACAAAATGTTTGCAGTTTAAACATAAAAAATGTTTAGTGCATATCCGCAAGATTCCATGGTCACGGTCAAATTTTATTGATATTTTCACTTCTTTCTATAAAATAAATAAAAATACAATAGAACTGTAGACCATTAGATATTTTCACTGGATAGAGTATAAAATGTGTAATAAAATTTTTCAAGGATTTGTATTTTTTTTGACATTTAAAAATAAATCTTCCTATTATACAAAAATAATTTTCTTCTACTCCTCCTCCCTTCCAATAAATAATAATTTATTGTATATTTTTATGTTCGTATTCATATTTTAAATTGGTTTATGGTTATGATATGAAAGATACAGACACGGACGCAACTAAAAGCTAATTGCCTTACCAAATTGAATGTGAATCCAATTAATTTTTTAGTTTTACAAGGGGCACATTATAGAGAAATTCAAGCTCTGTGAGAGATCTTAATAAATAAATTTCAATGCCCTAAGTTAAGGAGTCACTAACCCAACTAAGTAAGTTTCAAATATGCATCTCTCTGATGGAGTACAAGGAGCTTTACAGTTGCAACTTACAAAATTTATAATAGGACATTATGACTCAATAAACTTGACCGATAGATAGTTGTTGAAAGGTTTAAAGGTGAAAGGTGCTTAACAGTCGGTTAATATATAATATGTATATAGTTCTGTTCATAATAAGAATAATAGCAAATTTTTTTCTCTAATAAATATACTATATGCCATATTATCAGAAAAAAATGATAAATCGTGTTCATATATTAAGAAGGGAGATTTGTCAATTTTCAAACTGAGGCTTGCAAAGGCCGTGTGTCAAATTAGGGCATGGGTAGACCGCTCTGATATCATGGTGTATGTTTACTAGAGCTATTGGTATACTGGGCTGAAATTTAAACTCAATTAAGGTCTGTTAAAAACCACATTTTCATGAACCACGATTTTTAAACAAATATTTAGTGAGCTTGCCTCAAAAATAGCATGGATCTTTAAACAGAGAAATAGATTACTATATACCAGTCTAATAGAGTTTATGAATTCCAAGGAACATTGTTGAATTTTTTGTTATTGCACATTTTCGACATAATGCCCTCCTACAGATCAGTGGGTCAATACGTGGTCCAATCTGGTAAATCTAATCTAACCTAAGAGAAGACTATGTTGAAATATTTATTTTTGATGTTTATTTTGACTATAAAAATTACATTGTGGTATGATATTATTATATTAACATTTATTATAATATATTTTATTATTTATTTTATATATTTATCATTCCTATTCTTACATATGTGTGTTTATATTTTAGATGAAGAAGACGCCACAATATCTGCTGCAGCACTTGAAGGTGCAGATAAGCGAGTCATATTAATAAATAAACCCCAACCAAATAAATATCGCAGTAATCATATTTCAACTGCAAAATATAGGTAAACCCTAACATTTCTAACAACTAATATACAATATAATATTAAAAACATTTTTAGTCAAGTATTTATGAATACATTTTTCTATCTCATTCTATCTGATTTTCTTTCACTCTCTTTACAGTTTTATAAGTTTTTTACCATCGTTCCTTTTTGAACAATTTAGACGATACTCGAATTGTTTTTTCCTATTAATTGCTTTACTACAGCAAATTCCAGATGTATCACCTACGGGGAGGTATACGACGTTAGTACCATTAATATTTATATTAGCAGTGAGCGGTATTAAAGAAATTGTGGAAGATATTGTAAGTATAAAAAGTATTTCTAATATGTTACTTATATTACTCATTGCTAATGTCTACTAAGATAATATATAATTATATTGTATAATATATATAATATAAAATATACATATATAATGTAATGGTTTGTCTATTTCAGAAACGACATCGAGCTGATAATGAAATTAATCATAGAAGAGTGGAACGCCTGTGCGGTGGTATCTGGTGTGCGGTGCAATGGGATCAATTATGTGTGGGAGATATAATTAAAGTACCAAATAATTCATTTTTTCCTTCGGACTTGGTGTTATTATCTTCAAGGTATGAATAAATATCTAAATGATAGAGTGGATGTATATAATATATGCAATCATTTAACTCACTATTACAGTGAACCACAAGCGATGTGCTTTATTGAGACGTCAAACTTAGACGGTGAGACGAACTTAAAAATACGTCAAGGCTTACCGTCAACGGCGCAGTATTTGGAAACAAAAGATTTAATGCAATTGGTTGGAGTCGTGGAATGCGAATTACCTAATCGTCATTTATATGAATTCAATGGAGTGCTTAAAGAACAAGGAAAAATGTGAGTAAAATTTTTTATTTTTAGGAAGATTGGATTAAGTGTAATCTAATCTATTGCATATAATTTTAATTTTTTTCTTATATTTACTTTTATAGTTCTGTAGCTCTTGGACCTGACCAAATCCTGCAACGTGGCGCTATTTTACGCAATACTTCGTGGGTGTTTGGTTTAGTGGTGTATACTGGTCATGATACAAAACTTATGAAGAACTCCACCTCAGCACCTCTGAAACGTTCAACGGTGGATAAATTGACAAATACACAAATTTTAATGTTATTCTTGATATTAATCATGCTCAGTTTGACAAGTGCCGGTCTGAACTACTTTTGGACGCGTGAAAATTATAGCACAGATTGGTATTTAGGCATTAATGGTAAATTATTTCACCAGTCAATGTATAAAGATTTATTTAATTTTTTTTCTATTTTTAAAGATTTTAAGAGTAAAAATTTTGGTTACAATTTGTTAACATTTTTTATATTGTACAACAATCTCATACCGATTTCGCTACAAGTAACACTAGAATTGGTACGATTTTTACAAGTAAGTATATCACTTATTAACTTGCTTTAATATTGTAACATTAATTTTCTTCTTTATTTATAGGCAACATTTATTAATAATGACGTCCAAATGTATCATGCAGAAACAAATATACCGGCTGTAGCTCGTACCTCAAATCTAAATGAAGAGTTGGGTATGGTGAAATATATATTTTCTGACAAAACAGGAACACTGACAAGAAATGTAATGGTTTTCAAAAAGTGTTCTATAGCGAAATATATTTATAAGCCCGAAAATACACCAGAACAATCTTTAGTTGTACAAGTAAGTATTATTGGAAATATATATTTTTACTTATAGAAGAAATTAGAAGAAATTACGCCACCAGATAAATTTAAAAATAATTTAAAAATAGGTGGAATAATTTTCTAAACACACAGAAAACAGATTGTGTCTTAAATGTGTACCGATTAAATATACTCCAAATTCCTAAGGAGACCAAATTCCTATTGATTTGAAATGGGACAATTTAAAATGTTCCATTGTTACTTTATATCTACATCTACTTCTTTTCGCTTCCACTCTTTGGCTTCACGCAAAAAATGTACAACTATATGAAAATATCTTGAAACCACATGATAAAACGTTCCATAAGTCTCTTTCGAGACTTCAAGCATAGATCTATTTGAACTCAATATGTTAAATTTTCTGAACAGTGAATGTTTTTGTGATTCGCAAAACAATACATATAGTCACCTTAAATTAGCCAGTAAAGATATTGCATCATAAGACAGAAAAGGACATAGGACATTAAAATAAATTTTTATATTTTAGAATTGGAATAAACTTGTTATTTTATTTGGATAGCGAATTTTAGTAGACACACTTCACTGTAACAATGTTGATCCCTTGGTATTGCCATGATACGTGGACTAATATATGCCGAGTAGAGTTATTCTAATATTTGAGAACCCTATTCGACTTTATTATTATACGACTCAGGCTTCCTATTGTTAGAAATAAACTGAAGAAATCTCATTGGTATATCTTGATCTGAAAATGTATCCATGACGACGTTCTCGCGGAGAATATAAAAAACAGAACAATATTTCTTTGCTAGTGATTTCAGAACAATTATCATTAAAGAAGCTAGTAATTCTATACACATAATTTGATTTAGTTATGAATGTACAAAATATTATTCCAAAATGTGTTGTATAATCCCTTATTTATCCTACATTTAGTATTATTTTTTAAAAAAAAGTATTCTGCATTATGCTCTAATAGATTTTGGGGTCATTTAGGTTCGTTTGTACCCTTACTATTCTATAGAACAATTACCTATTGGAGGGATAAACATACTCCAATAGTTTTTTACTTTTTAATTGATTGAAAAATATATCATTATTATTATTCTGTTATTACAGAATATACTAAGTAATCATCAAACTGCGCCCATTATCAAGGAATTTCTTATTCTATTATCCGTTTGCCATACTGTTATACCGGAAAAACACGAGGATGGCTCGATTATTTATCATGCTGCAAGTCCAGATGAACGTGCACTAGTCGATGGTGCTAAACGTTTTGGTTATGTTTTCGATAATCGTACACCAGAATATGTAGAGATTTTAGCTTTAGGTGAAAGAGAACGATACGAAATTTTGAATGTCCTTGAGTTTACATCATCACGAAAACGTATGTCTGTTATAGTCCGAACACCCGATGGGAAAATAAAATTACTATGCAAAGGAGCTGACACAGTAATTTGTGAGCGCCTAGCACCAGATGGACTAGAGTTTCGAGATGTCACTTTAAGGCATTTGGAAGAGTTTGCAGCTGCAGGATTGCGAACTCTATGTTGTGCTGTAGCTGAAATACCATTAGATGTTTACAATGAGTGGAAAGAAACGTATCATAAAGCGTCAACGTCTATACAATATCGTGAGAGAAAAGTTGAAGATGCTGCTAATTTGATAGAGAACAATCTAAGATTACTTGGTGCAACAGCTATTGAAGATCGTCTGCAAGATGGTGTGCCCGAAACAATAGCCGCGCTATTAGATGCTGGCATATATATATGGGTTTTGACTGGTGATAAACAGGAGACTGCTATTAATATTGGTTATTCATGTAAGCTAATATCACATTCAATGGATCTCATTATACTCAACGAGGAAAGCTTAGATGTAAGTTGCATAATTTCCAATTTTGAAACATATATATTAATTTTTTTCTTTTTCGTACTCAAAGTCTACGCGAGATGTCATACATAGGCATTGTGGAGAACTGAAAAATATGGATGTTAAAGATTGTAATGTAGCTTTAGTGATCGATGGTAAAACACTTAAATACGCATTGAGTTGTGATTTAAGACGGGAATTTTTGGATTTATGCCTTGTGTGTCGGGTCGTGATTTGCTGTAGAGTGTCACCTATACAAAAAGCCGATGTAAGTAGTATTTCGTATTTAGTAATATTTATTATTTAATTTGAATTTCTATCTATAATTATATTTCGAATAGGTTGTTGAACTGGTTACACAAAGTACTCGTTCAGTTACGCTGGCCATTGGCGATGGTGCCAATGATGTTGCTATGATACAAAGAGCTAATGTAGGTGTTGGCATATCTGGTGTGGAAGGTCTGCAAGCTGCTTGTGCTTCAGATTATTCAATCGGTCAATTCCGTTTTTTGATGCGTTTATTATTGGTGCATGGCGCTTGGAATTATGCTCGAATAAGCAAATTGATTTTATATAGTTTCTATAAAAATGTTTGCCTTTATGTTATTGAGTTATGGTTTGCTTTGTACTCTGGCTGGTCGGGACAAATTTTATTCGAACGCTGGACAATTGGTCTTTATAATGTTATGTTTACTGCGTTACCACCATTTGCTTTGGGATTATTTGAAAAAGTGTGCTCAGCCGAGACGATGCTTAAATATCCGCTATTATATAAGCCTTCTCAAAGTGGAAAACTATTTAATGTACGCGTTTTTTGGGTGTGGATCTTGAATGCGTTAGTGCATTCTGTATTTTTGTACTGGCTACCTATGCTATTTATGAAACAGGATGTTGTATGGGGTAGTGGAAAAGCGAGTGATTATGAACTTATGGGAAATATTGTTTATACAGTAAGTATTATTCCAAAAAAATATTATTAAATTTTACAAATTGATAAATTTAATTTATATATATATATATACAAGTCAATAAAACACATCCATACAGAACGTATACGATTGCAAGGTATTGGCTTCCTAAATTACACAAGTTTCATTTACAACACTATGGTATTTTACTGGAACGTATTTTTTGAATTAATCTTTTAGGTTAGGTTTAAAGAGCATTAGTTTTAAAGAATATCAATACTTGCACTTGCAGGCAACTATTACCTAAGGTGAATTTTTTAAAGTTGTCAGGAAGAGGCAGACTAAACTAATCATGGTTTCCAATATGACTTATTATGTTAGCCTTGTTAAACCATTTGATTTACCAGCTGAAATAAAAAAGATGTGATAAGTCTACTTAAGTCTACCCCCATGACGTCACGCATCTATTCTCATACTTTACTGCATGCAGAAAAGTTCGCCCAAACGACCTTTAAACCCACCCCATTGACCCACCACCAGGTTTCTTTATCTTGACCGAAACTGACTTTAACTTAAAACCCATTCGCCACTAATTCAACCCTACTCACTAGTCTCCTTCCTCCCCTACCCTCAATCAACCATTATCTATCCGTACCCTCAATCAACCACTGTCTATCCCTACTCCTAATCACCTATTACCTATGTATCAACATCCTAACCCATCTTTCAAGATCCCAGCGGGATACAACAACAACACGAAACATGGTCATAGATATTGTTTCATCTGTAGACCTGGACAAAGTCAATGTACATCTCTTTTTACAAAGAAAAGTAATTGATGGATTTCATAGACTATAGTAGCAATTCCTGCACAGTTGCACAGTCGATGAAATTTGTTCACTTTGAAGCAATTGTGCACTAGCACAGTGCCCCACTAGAAGCACATAAACCGCGAGTTAACTGAAACTACGTTTATGTTTATCTCCTATATAATCTATGTAATAGGATTCTAGCGATCTTAGTGTCTATTTTATTTTTTTTAGCAAAAGAAAATCGCTCTGAACACTGCCTTTCAAATAGCTATTATGATTTTTAATAAAAACAAATTTAGATACAATAATGAACGTGGACGTTGGATCACATAAACATTTTTTCTTTACATATTTACTACTATGGTATAATAAATGAACAAAGTTCTAGAAAGTAAATGTAAATTTTGAGTCTAATTAGTTTATATTTTCGAGCAAGCACTGTATATATAAATTTAGATTAAATTTGATTTAATTAATAATAATCTAATAATTTTTTGATTTTTTTATATAGTATGTAGTTGTAACAGTTTGTTTGAAAGCTGGTCTTTCGACAAATTCTTGGACTTGGTTAACGCATGCCGCGATTTGGGGTTCAATATTTATGTGGTTCCTTTTTGTGATTGTATACAGTCGTTTTTGGCCTGTATTACCATTGGCTGTAGTTTTTTGTGGAATGGATACTATGTTATTCACAACACCTGTATTTTGGTTCGGATTAGTACTAATACCAGTAACTACTCTGCTTATCGATGTTATATGTAAACTGTGAGTAAAAAAGATATAATATAAAAAATTAATATATAAATAATTAATTTAAAATATTTTTATTCCTTTTTTAGTATTTATAATACTGTTTTCAAATCAATTACTGAAGCAGTACGAGAGTCTGAAATACGTAAAAACGATCCTAGTCATGTACTGCATGAGTCAAGATCATCGTAAGTACAATAAATTTTTTTATAAAAAAAAAATTATAATTATATTAATTGATTGTATTAATTGATAATAAAAAAAACTATAAAACGTTTCAGTATTTTGATTTTGAATTGTTAAGCATCAAAATTTTAGTTTGAAATTCTTTTTTTGTATAAAATAGTTAAAGTCTTAAAAATTTATAACCTTAAGCTTTAAAGTTATTCCTACTGTTTTGTACTTTAAAAGTAATTCCTTTATCTTTGTTTTGTGATAAATAAAATAAAAATTATTAATGATTTTGTTAAAATGCATTTTTATTTACATTTTGTATATAAAAATATATACTTAAATAATTTAATTTATATATGTAAATTAAATTAAAAATAAATTTAAAAATTATTTAAAAATTATTTAAAAAAAAAAACTTAAAAATTATTTTTTAAAATAAACTTAAAAATTATGTTTGAAATATTTTAACAAAATCGTATTTATTAACCCTAGTCGCTAACATGTCCCGTTTATTTTTGAAAAAATCACTAATCACTTTTCTAATTTAATCGTGTAATATAAAAAATTTGCTCTTTAAAACCTCTTGCAATAATTAAATTGTGTTTGTTGTATTTTTTGTGTATGTTGTTTTGTTGTATTTGTTTCATTAAAATTTTTTAATAACAATTTATTATTAGATAAGTATAAGTATCAGATTTTTATATTAAGACTTTGCTTCTTACATTTTGTTGATATAAAATCATAAGTTTATAAGAGAAAAATAAAACAGCTATTAAAAACTTAAGCTATGGTGTTGGTTATATATTAATAATTAATAAAAATTATTATTAATTAATAAAAATTATTGAAAACTGATATTTTTAAATATAATATATTTTATAATACCTAACGGTTTTAGGGTGTTACAGTCTTTAACTGCACAGTTGTTTTTTTTAATGAAGTATATAAACTTTAATATATTATATATTTAACATAAACATCTTTGAGATTAAATAGGCTCTACTATAGCATATCTATATATTGCTATCATACTATAGTATAACATATATTTAAAAATATTATATACTAAGGTCTTTAAAGTCACATAGCTTCTACTAAAATATATACATTTTTAAGAATTATTTATTTAATATTGAAAAACAATAACAAAAACAAAAATTAAGCAAAATTTGGCATTAACAAAAATTTATAATAAATTCAAAATGTTTAAATTATTATATATTTAAAAAAAAAAATAGTTTATTATAGTTGTAAATATTATTTATTTTATAAACTCTATATGATATCAATTATGTGCTTTTAACAATGTGATATGTTTAATACTTGCTTTTAAAAAACGTATTGCCTTATATTATTAATATATCTACACATATATGTTTGTTTTAATATTTTAGTTTTGTTAATTTGTTAATGTAAATATAGTGAAAAATGTTCGATTTTTTGTAGTAAAATTTTATTAAACGTAAACATTACATATGTTTTAATATATATATTAAAATAATCTGATCAGCAATAATAAAACATGACAATTCGAAAATAATTCAAAAAACGATTAGCCACATCCTAGAATTTTAAAATATTAAAATTTTTTTATAGATATTTATATATATATATATTGTTCTAATACTATACTTAAATCTGAAATTACTTAAAGTGAAGAATACAAACAATATTACTTAATTTAAATAATACGATTTATAATATATGTTTTAAGTATCTACAAAATCAAGAAACGAAATAATATATTGTATATATAGATTGCATCCAGAAGTCGCCTCAACTTTTATTGTTTTAGTAGTCTATTTGGGAAGTATAAGCGGCGATAAGTTGTCTGTGCAGATGACTGATTTGTCCTCTTCAGAGTCGAACAATTTTATTTACCAACGATTGGGAACACTTATAATAGAATATTTTTCGAAATGTATTCTCGGTATTATATTATATATTATTATTAATGAATAATATAATACAAAAGAATATTATTTTTATGTACTAGATTTATGTATATATTCTTCTTCTTTGCTTGATCAAACGCGAGTTAGTCTAAAACATTTTTACTCAATAGTGTCTGTAATCATTTAGATCAGGGCTCTCCAGACTAGATGCAATCACGGGTCAATAAAAATAACTAAACAGATTAGAGGGCCGCAGAAACAAATATGTACTTTCCGTTGAATTCTGATAATAAGCTGTTCAGATGATTTTATAGAAGTATATCTTGAAAACCAGCATATCTTGCTGACGGAATATACCTATATTGCATTAGATTTGAGACAAAGGAATTTAGAATTAGTGTGTGTGTATATAAATATATTTAACTTGAAATTCATGCTTTATAATTAAACTATTTATTAGACATTTAAAAAAAAATTTGAAACTAACATTAGAATTGAATTCAAATAGTTTAAAAGTAATTTATGGGATGTAATTTGGACCCTGGCTAACTTAATATATATTATTAATAAACTGCGGAATACTATACTTCGCAATTCATCACAAAAAGTCATCTATTGTGCTAACCTCAGTAGTTTTAACCAATCAATAGGCTTTTAATAAAAGTGAGCACCTCTGACTATTCTGTACTATTTCATAAGCGACCAGAAGTCTGTCCCCAAAGGAATAAGTCTTATTTAAGGCATTTACAGAGATTATATTGAGATTGAATCTCAGTCAGTACTGCGGGCTCAGAAATCCGGTGAGAATTAGTGCAATATGTCTCTTTGAGGTTGCCTTAGATGGGGTGATAAATCTTTTATCTTATCCTTCCCATTTATAGCTCATCCACAGTTTTTAAATTGGTTTCTTTTAATATCTAAGTTTTTCCACAATATACTCTCTTACCAGAGAACAAAATGGATCACATCCATGTAATGGAAGTCAGGCTTTTCGGTTGGCGTGACAGTCAGTCTTCACATTTCCTTTGTGTGTTTTATGTTTTGATACCCATCATAAAATAAAGTAGTCAGTCAGCGTTTCTGAATTCTAACAGAGTTTAAGGCCAGTAAGACTATTTTTGATTACTGTAGACTATATTATACTATAGACTATCTGTAGATTATAGATACTATAGTCTATATTTAATTAATAGTTGATTATCACTATATTTGTCTTCCTTTTCAGCATTTGGTTATACAGTTTTCGATGAGTAATAACTCTGCTTCTAGACAGTTTTCCTAGCGATGAGTTGGTTTTTTCTAAAAACAAAAACAAAAATTAGGTTCCTTTGCTTAAGAAAAATGTTTCATATCCGCTATTTCCATAATACCACCTACTTAAATAAAGCAACATATAACATTTGTTTCATGCCTATTTCAAAGATATAATGTATTTTTCTTATTCTATAAAACTTCATATACCATTATCATAAGTAGTTTGCCTAGTCATCCAGTGATTTCTTAGACTTCATAAATCACAACACAAAAGTTGAACTTATACGCTTGATATCTGTTAGAAGTAATGGTATTTTATGTGGTCTGCTCAAAAGAAATATTAAATAATAACCATTTAAATAACAACCATCAATTTAAAATTGATTTCAGTTCAAACATAAAGCCACGGGATTATTTCAGTTATGACAATGATGATTGGGAACTTAAACCACTCTGACAAGAGTCTAAATTGAATAGCTTTAAATATAAAATATACTAATAAAATTAATTATTTATTGGTGTTAAAAAGTTATTTGTAAATTAAACTATATTTATATATAATTGTTAAAAATAAATCTGATTAAATCATTTTTTTTTTGCTCTTGAACTTTTTGGATGTACCTTAACTACTATAGAAACGCATTTTAATACATATCATATATATTACTAATGTCTTAAAATATTTAAAAAATGCTTCACTTTAAGTAATTAATTATAAGTATAAATTATAAATAATATATTTTTTTAAATAAAACATTTACATAAAAAATATTTAACAAACACAATTTTGTGGAAATTGATTTGTAGGTTTCATATGAATTTGATAATATATAATAATAATAAAAAAAAAACAAAAATTCAATTTTAGAAAAAAAAAATTTTAAAAAAAAAATAATTGTAATTAATTTCTTGGTTTCGTTTCAATTTTTTAAAGTTCTTATTATTTATATATATATATATTATTGAACATTTAAATTTTATAAAAATCACTATTACTTAAACCACCCATTGTGGCTACAGTCAAAGTGTTACTGGTGTCGCTTGGCGTCGTCTGAACACAGTAGAACCAGGACAAAACAATACTCAGGACAAAGACAAAAATGAATATAAACAAAATCGCATATCAGATGTAACCATCGTCAGCTTGGACGAAACTAGTGAAGCTTTAAATGCCAGCTCTGCTGCTTCTGCCTCCGCATCTACAACAATGACCACTTTACATATGTAAAAGCAAGGAGAGACGAATTTTAGGAAATTGAGAATTTATTAAATTTATGAATTTATTCAAAGTGGATATATACTTTTTTTTTATTTATATTATATTTTGTAAATATCTAAAACAATTTTTAAAAAAAATGACATTGTAATATAACACTGTATATAATATATAAATAATAAAACAATGCTCAAATCTCAATATAAAATTTAATTATATTATTTATAAAAATAAAAATAAAAATACTACTAAGCAATTGCTACATATAAATGTTTGTCAATTATCAATATATTGTAAAGCAGTGATATATAGTAAAAATTAATACTAAAGAAACTGTGCTCAAAAGTATTATTTATGGTTGAAATTGAAGATTTTATTAAGAAATGTGTATTTTGCACTTCATTAATTTTTATATATCAATAATTTGTATAAGAGACTATAAAAAAAAACTTTGCCAGTAATAATAATTATAATAAGTAATAGAAGGTTATAAAAACATCAATGGTGAATACTTGTAAATGTTATTAAAATATCCAATTCAATTTCTTTAATTAGTTAAATCTTTAAATTTCTTACTAACAATTTTAAAAGTTGAATAGATTTATTATTAAAAAATTGTATAAATGAACATTCAAAATAGTACAGTATT